ACTCTGAGATATCCAGTTCAATTCCCAGCAGATAAGGGCTCACATCAGAAAAAAATACAGTGGCAGTTGCTACCGTTGGAAAATGGTTGTCTCGGCAGACAAAACTCTCCTCTGGCTCCTGCCAAATCATGAGACTGGTTGGGAGGGGAGAGTACAAGAAAGCAAGTATCGTTCGTGCCCATTAAGCAGTGCATTGCAGGTACCTGCCAAGTATTTACAGCAGTATTTCAAGGAAATGAGTGAGAAACGAGTGGCAACGCAGTCCTAGCCTTTCGGCTACAGCAAGTCAGGGTTGCCAAGAAAGGGATGTCTCCCAGGTAGTTCAGCCCCAGCCTGTGGAGATCAAACAGCGCAAGGAAATGACCTCAAGGACAACGCGGTGTTTAATTGAGCAAGAGCGGCGCGGGGCTAACGTGCTCCCTTTGCCGCGGCGCGCTGAGCAGACGCAGATCTTGTGCTAGACCAGCTGGAATTTCGTCCTCACTTTCCTCCTCCACAATCGGTTTTAAGCATCGCCCGTCCACCGCTTTTAATGACGATTCTATTTGTGTAACGAGAAAGGAAGCAAGAAAATCATCGAGTGGGAGTGAGGGGAACGCTGGGATGCTGCTCAATATCTGTATGTGCCTGCACTGCTTTCCTCTGGAAACGGTTTCCCCTAAAAACTTCTACAAATATAACGGAAGGGTATTCTCATTAACAGATGCACAGGTCACACGTATTATTAAGCAGCTTCAATAAACTAACGCATTGTACATGTCTCGGGAGAATAAAAGACAAATGACGCTGCGTACACGGTGCAAGGAAGGTAGAAAGAAAACATACAGACTGGGAAAAAAAAAATAATTAAAAAAAAAAAGACCATGGAAGCTCCTGCTTTTATCCACCGAATCCATCCATGTAAGCCCCAGCTTTTGTTTGACATTCTCTTCCTCATCACTACACGAACAGGAACCCACCAGGCTTTGGGTAATCTTGACGAGCTGTTTGGGGCGGGGATGGTGGTGCCTGCGTACAGCACTTGGCTAAAGGGTGCCCCCCCCCCCACAAAACAGGCTGTGGGGCTCTACCGAAACATCAGCCACCGAGATGATGGGCGGCCATCTGTGAAGACTTCAAGGAGCTGTTCCTGCTGCCACTGATTCTAGGAAGGAAACAAAGGCTTTCGCTGCCTCCTTCCAACAAGCCCACTACGGCAATCGAGCAAAGAGTCCCCACCAGAGCAGAGGAAGCTGCCAGTGCTGGCTGAGCCTCAGCACACACCTTCTGTTATGGAGAAGCAGGAGAAAGGGGCGAGCTCCATCTCTGAAGGCACCCGCTCCTTTGCTCACCTCTTTCCTGACCCCCTGCACCGCAGCGGGCAGGGCACAGGTTGCTAAAGCGGCAAATAAAATAACTAGAAAAAGTTAAGTATCGGCTCACCGTCCATGTCAGGGAGTCATGCTCACTAACTAAGAGATTTGTAAAGAGATGACCCGACAGGTGAACAAAAAGAGATAAAAGATGGGGCTGAAGCACCACCGTTACGGATAAGTGAAAAACTGGAAGAGAACATCTGCAGAATACCAAGCTGGGTGGGCTGGGGAGGATGGGGGAGAGGAGAGACAAAAGCAAGCAAAGATATGATAAGGTAAATGAGTGTGGATGTATTAAGTACACAACATGAAGTGAGATAAGGAAAAAGAGAAGGAAGAAGCACCCTAAGAAATGCTTGAAGGCCCATCCCAGCATTATTACACTACACACATGCTACTTAGCGTCAAGAATATGAGGACACCGCGAGCAACTTATCATTCATTGCTCCATAGGGAAGAAGAGATGAAACGTTTTTACTCTGAACTAAAGGTGAAAAGCATTCAAATTCCATAAGAAACTGCTAGGCTATATAATGAGCAGATTTGAAACTACTTAGAGGAAGCAGCATCAGAGAAGGATGTTCATCACCCTGGGCAGGCCACACAAATTAAGAGAAAGTAGAGCTGTGAATTACAATGAACAGAGACTAAATAGCTGCCTGTGTTGGATTAAAGGATTTAAATTGTCAGCTTGATGTATAATGAATGTGAAAACCCAGCACTTAATTAAATGGCACATGATAGAATAACTTTGTTATGCTTTAAACTGCTTAAGTTATCAAAGTATTCCTTATATTTAGCAATTGTTTAGCAGGAGCTCCCTTGTGAGCTCCACCAAGACATTGGTCATTTACCCTGCATTCAGCTGTGGCAAAATATGGAACTTTTTTCTTTTTTTTTTTGTTCTGTAAGCTGAGTTTTCAGTCATGGCCAGTGAATTTCTAGCAATGCAAAGTCACTGAACGCTGCCGAGACAGAACGATGGGCTACCAGGTGCTCTATGGATCCCACCACCAACACCTTGCTATCATCCGAGTAGACACGGGGGACTGATAGCTCTTCCCAGATCACAGAGCATCTCCCTGCTCACCACCCTTAAGATGACGCATGAAGGGTCCCAGCACAGGGGTGACAGAGCAGCCTCTGTCAGGCCTGGCTTGTGCCAGATAAAAACTTCAGCCTCCTCCTTATCTGCCTTCAGGAGTACACCTGCCACGGGGGAAGACAGAAAACGAGTTCTGCCATTGCATTTTGATAACAGGAACTGACTTAATTTTTCAACCTGGCAAGCAAATCTAATTGAGTTACTCCGCACAGAATGAGGACGGCTAGAATGGAAATTACATGGGAGAATCAGCAGAAGCAGCGGACGAGGGATCACCATAAGGGCTAGGACAGGGCCTCTGGATCGCTTTTTAAAGGAATCACATCGCATGGGAGGACTTAAAGGCTAAATCAAGGCGATTAAAAAGACTGCTCCATCCAACAAAGGTTGGTACGAAGAAACATGACTGCACAGTTCCCAGCAAATTCCTGATTTTTTTTTTTCTTACCCCATTCAATTTATCACATCCTGTTACATTTCTTGAGCAACTCATGTGTCGGCAATCCTAAATCAAGGCTTCCTTAACCCCGCTGTCCTGGGGTGCACAGGATGGTTAGGAAGAGCATGAGATAGGAAGGACCCTCCCTTCTACACAGACACAACGAGGACTTGGATCCCAGAGATGACTCCATGTCCCAAGGGGACACGTGCCCGCTCAGATCAGAGATGTGTTACAGGCACAATCAAAAACTTAAAGACAAAAGGGGAAAAAAAAAAATAATACTTACAGCTACTGCTATTCTTCCGAGTACGTGTTCTGGAATTTTTCTATAAACATCCAAAGAACCCCCTGCAGGGACAAACAAAACATGCTTAGGTAATACAAAATGAAATACTGCCCTAGATTTAGAGTCACAAGGGTTTTCTAGGCCTTGGTTATTAATAAAAACACCATCAATGATATAACAATAACTGTGTCAGAAATAACTGACCTTAAAAATCTACCGAACCCTGAATAAACACATGAAACCGCACTCGGGTCTCTTTTCACCCACATTACTTATTTTTGCTTGCAGCATTAGCACTCAAACTCCTGCTAGAAAACCTCCCAGTCACAGGACAGAATATCAAAACAGGAGAACTCGGAACTACCGGGCTTGGAGTAACTTCTCAGGAACAACACAGTCATCCCCAAAAGCACCGGTGGACTTCCAAGTCCGAAGTATCCTAACCCTTGTCCCCAAACCCCAGCGCTAGCATTCCCTGGTCTCTGCTACGATGCTTATATACATGCTTAAAGCTGTTTCCTCCCGATGAGCAAATCCATGAAAAGTTTGGTTGAGCGTTGCAGTCTGTGCCCGCACCGATGTCTGAAAGACAAAGAGCTCCTGGGCAAGCAGGTAAGTTTTGCCAGTAAACTCCAGTATGGGACAACTTGCTGTCTGGCATAACCCTGTCCAGCCAGCATCACACATTCGTGGGGAAAGCGAGAGGCTGAAGTCCCTCTAACAGCCCTAGACATTCCCAAGGGACTGGGAAGGATCATTTCCCTTATCTTCTGCACAGGAGATTCACGACCAAACCAGTGTTCAAAATGCCCCTGGGGTGAAATACAAATTCCTGGGCAAGAAAGGAAATTTTCAATTGAGAATTAAAAATATCCAAGCAGAAAGGCATAAAAAAAAAAACAAACCCAAACAAAAAAGGAACAAGCAAATTACAGGCAGAGCGTATTACCCTTAGCTTGCAAGGGCGTGTTGTCTTACTCTAGGCTCAAGGTTCTCAGAACTGATCTAACTCTGCTCTCGGTGTAACACATGGATTTTACCGATGACACCAATAGGAAAATAGTTAGGCCAACTCTCAGCAACTGAGAAAACTACACCTTGTACTTTGCTTATCATTCAGTTTTTAAGAGTAAACGCCATTCATTCTGAAATGCTGCCATCCAAAGAAGTCACAAGGTCCTTGTTCCTGTCTTCATCCTTAATTATACAATAGTTCTTATTTATACTATGCTTCCCATTCTAACGATTGGGGTTTTGCGTGACCTGGTGATTCCAGGTCATTACAATTACTATTTGTTCATTTTTACTCTTTCAACCTATATTGCCCCCATTGCCCGTGGATTATAACGAATCTCAGGTTTAGCAGTAAACGTAAGTAGTATTTAATGGAAATAAGAGGATGTAGCATCGCAGATACCTACTGCTCATTACAAAAGCCAAACAGACGGCAATCGTATGGCAGGTGGTTCCTGTTAGTGCATATAACATATCCTTAATTTTTGAACAACAGCAACCAAAAAAAAAGACCTATTTTCATACACCAAACTGCTAAGTCTCCCTATTACAGATGTCACTCAAGGCAGTGCTGCTTGAAAAATGAAGGGAAGTATCTTCTTGCAAGCAATCAGAGAAATCTGCTGGTTTTCTAGGGAGAAAAAATTCTGTAGCGGACATTTCCAAATCCAAATCATGTTAGCTCCCCTATCTACGTGTAGACACCTAGGTACGGTCTGATAACCTCCACCTCCTGCTGCTTTTGAGGGGGATTTAGGGGGCGTTCAGCAATTTCAAGGAAAAGAAGCAATAATATAAGTAAAAGGGCATTTCACCATCTCTATTTAGAACATCTTTATAATAAATATAAAAGGGCAAAGATTAGAAAGCCTCACTTCACATCTCTGCTGTTCTTTAAGGACCACTGGCAGGTGGGAGGGGGGGTCCAGGTCAGTTGAACCTCAGTGTTTTGGTATTTGGAGTTACCTGTTTTTTTCCCTGCTTGCAGGTGCCAGGGAAGAACCAAGATGGTCCTATACGTGCACCTTTTCCCCTCTGTGTACCCCTAAGCCTCGAGGATCCCCAAAGAGGCAGATCCATCTGTATCTAGGGTAATTGAGAAGGGAAATACCTATGTTTGGTAATGCGGTAGAGGATACAACTGGGCAAACAGAGGCATGGGACGTGAATTCAGGCAATACTACAAAATGGGCTAAGACAGTCAAAAAGGGCTAAAAATTTGTCAAGGTTAAAGCTGTTCATCTGCAGGGTGAGAAAGTATTTTTTTTTTATTTATTTATTATTTTCACCTGCATCCTTACGCATCAAAATTAAAGATCTGGGGGTTAAAAAAAAAAAAAAAGGCAAGGTCCCTTTATTTGCATTTTGTTCTTCCTTTAACTGATTGCTGTTGCTTTCTGCCAGAAGGAGAGCACAACACGAGGCAGGCCAGAGGTCATCTCCAGTATAATTCCAAGTAATTTGTGCACGGTCAGCCCACGCCACTGTTGTGCAACATCATGAGGGATGCATACCCTAAAGGCTTTAATATTTTCAATCAAGAATTCAGAACGGCAAGCATTTATGTCCATCACTTTTAAAAAAAATTCTCTGAATTGGCAGGGGCACGCATACTCTAGGCAGACGCATGTTCTGGCACGAGCAGATGCTCCCTTACTGCATGGGGCTAACGCGGGCTCGCAGCTCCGAGTGCAAGCGCAAGGACAGAACAGAGAAATGGCGAAAGCCACACCGCGTGAGAACAGCGAAGAACCGAACCTGTGGGCTTCGCTGAATAAATATAACACTTCATCAAACGTAGAAAATCGGAGAGAATACTCATACTTGGAAGTGGGGCACAGTGGTCACGAGGACAGAGGTAGTAAAAGAGAGACAGAACAGTGATAACAGACCATTTTAACAGGGAGAAAACAAAACGCACCATAAAACCCTAAAGGGGTCCCCATCAGAAAGAAAGAAGCTACGCAACGATGCTTAATGGTACACATTGGGCTTTGGAAGTTTTTCCTGCCAGAAAGCCTTCCCTCCATAGCAAATTATTTGCGAGATCCTTACTTCTTCGCATCCAGCTTCACTGAACCTTTGTGAAAAACCTGGACAGGGCATAAAATGCTGGCTCATAAGAAAATCCCGGCGAGAGGAACAGACTATTGCTCGTAACCGCGACGCGATGTTAGAAGTTGAACGCTGCGGAGGAGGTTCTTGCCTACAAGACACCAGGGGACGGCATCTGCCATGAGACAACGCTCTCAGGACTGATACACAGAGGGCAGCAATGGTTATAAATCGCTGTGCTCAGTACCCTTCCTTCTCCTGCCTTTTCCCCAAGAACGCCACACGGCACAAGATTTCAAAGCCACGCGCTGATAACATCTCCGTAACGGCAGCCACATCAGGTTGCAGGGAAGGAGATGCTCTTGGTCTGAAGAGTCACGCTGGGAGAAACAAGAGTGCACTCAAAACGAAACTCAGCGCAACGCTGCTCAACAGCTGCGATAGAAAATAATTCCCCGTCTCGCAATTAAGAGACGATTTCCACTGAAAACACATAGGACATTGGGTTAATAGATTTCTTTAAAAGAAAATCTGTTTTGGCTATCAAAACAGTAAAAGTGAGGAACAGCTGTTTTGTCAGCGAGGACAGATTGTATGGAAGACTCAAATATCAAACCACAAATTAAGCTAGCATTTATTTCTGTTCTATTTACATTTTCAATAAAAGTAAGCAAATTTGCACTCGGGGAAAACGCAGCGTACCATGGAGAACATTACACAATCCCAATACTAACCTGTTTCCTTAAAAACGACCTGTGAAGTTATTAATACTTTAAATTTTCAAGTCATACCGCTGCATTTCGCTCCATTCTGGAAAAGCGCATCTTTAAATGATTCTCCCATTTACATACTTAGCAGTCAAAGGCACAAGAGATGTACAACTCACCATCCATGAACTCTGTACACAACGAAATCCTGTTTTCTACAAAAAAAGCCCCATAAAATCCTATGATATACGATGAGTCGCACTGGAAAAAGAAAGGGGAAAAAAAAATAGAGAAGCCTGTTTTAAAATTTGCTGTAGGATTATAAGCATGAAAAATAAATAGATGAGAAAAATCTATATACCTTATACAGAATTTCTAACTCTGACATTATCTGCTTCTGGAGTTCCAGTGTTATATCTAAGGGTATGACCTAAAATACAAAAAACAGACATATGATCAGAGCTGACATAAAAAGTGAATGATTCAAAACAAAAACCTGAAGATCCACGTATTAATTATCCTTACGTGAGCAAGGGGAGGAGAGGAAAGAATATTTTAATAGCGATGAAACGGAAACACTTACTTTTAAAAGTCAGTTACAAGGAAACTAAGTTATACAGCCAATTTTACCCATGAAATGTCCTAAAATGCCCATCCTACCCGTGAAGGTTTGAGGTTTAACCATTTGACCAAGAGATGGGTTAGAGCATCAACATGAGCCTCACGCCTCACCTAAAGAGCTGGTCGGTAAACTCAGAGCCGCTGCTTATTCCCCTGGAACGCCCTCGCTCCCCAGCTCCCGCCGGGCACAGCCGCCGCCTCGGCTGCCCAGCACCGATTCCTCTTGCCGAAAAGACGTCGTGTGAAAAACGCCTGGAAGGCTGCGCCCCGGCAGGCCTCGCTGGACGTGCCGACGTTAACTCTACGGGCTACGCAAGTGCTGTAGCATTGGAAGCATCTCAGAACGTCTCGGTGGGGCCCTAAAGGAGCATCCCCCACCACCGCTCTCACTGTTTCAGTTTCTTTAATATTTAACCCCCTTTTCTATATACGTTCCTAACATGGTATGAAATGTGGAAAACTCAAATATACAGAAAAAATGCAGATGATAGCAGACAGCACCACTGTTTAAGTAAGCATCACCATAGCGTTCCTCAAACCCACCACAAACCACCTGACTTTGAGCGCCCAGCAGCTCAAACCAGCCGCTCGCCGTCCTGCTTATCGGCTGCTTCCTTCATCCGCGCCCTCATTCTTCATCGTTTCGAGCCAGGCTGCTGCTAACCAGCACCAAAGTACCAAGCGCTGCAGCGAAGGTGGGGTGCACTGCCTGTAGTTACAAATTTTCAGGATTTTCAAGACAGACCCTCTTAAATAAGGCTGCTGGTTCTGATGACGGAACCAACGTCGAAAGTCAACTTTTACAAGCGATTCTTTGTCGTGATTATTTGAAGAGTTGCGCACTCAATTATTAAGTTCCACCATAAAATGGACTCAGAATGCATTTCGCCAGGCTCAGTCTGCCACCACCCAATATTTCACAGTTTAATACTTTAAGCTAAAGGGAAACAAAATCTAGTCAATTTGCAGAATTAGCAGAATAGATCTTGCAGGCTGCATATACTGCTGACAAAACAAAACGCAGAGAGGCCATTTCCAAACACATGCATTTTACAGTATCAAAATCTGTCCAAAAGAAAAAACGATAACCTGTTTCTATCAAGAGTTTGCTTTAGGGTTATTTATAAAAGCTGTCACTAAACTAAATTGTAAGTGTAATACAGGGCTGCCAAGAAACGTTTAACACACTTGTCTAGATCAATAATCATTTGCCAACAATATTCACTTACGTTTTTCCAGCGTGAAAAACTTAAAATAATTTGCTGGAATACCGTCAGTTTTACGCATTAAATATCAGCAGAATTTAATCTTGGCAACGGTCTAGAATTAAATTTTATCTCACTAAATTCTAGGCACAGTGAGAAATTTCCCCGCTTCGTTCACTGGGAAGGCTTCACCAACCTGAACCACGCCTAGTTAGCATGATCGGCGCCACAGACGTCACCGCCACCCCATCAACCAAGACCTGGCATGAAGAAAGGTCTCTGGCTGATTTGCATTACTATAATTACATACGGACCCTGCATTCTAATAGTGAGGATAACCTGGAAAAGCAGAGCTACCCCATTTACAAGTGTTCAGGATGCCATAGGGTAGGGCGCGTACGCCAATGTCCTGCCACGGGGTGGCAAGCGTGTATCCCCACAAAATAAATTAGGAGAGACCACCGGCTCACTTTGCATAACTATTGTAGGGGCTTGTGTGACTTACAGCCAGGAGAGACACCCGTCTGGTGGCAAGGTTGGAGGAATCTTAGGTCATTGACAGCGCTGAAATGGGGGCAGAAAGAGGAAAAAAATATCTCTACAGCACCGCCTTAATCTGCTGTTGTAATCTCCGTGGTCACACTCCTTTTGTATAAAATTTCCAAGCTTATTTAGAAAATGAAGTTTGTATGGGTGAAACAACTTTTAAGAATATGCACATTGACAGCGTGAAGCATGGGCTGAAACAGCAAGAAAAAAAAAACCCAAATCCTCCTCAAACCCGTTGCTACCAAGGAAGAAGCTGTGAATAAGGATTTGGCTGCAACTTCTATGACTGTAACAGAGATAAGCAAATGAGACGCAACATCAGACAATAAACTTTTCCAAAACGTCACCTTTGGAAAGAACTTTGTAGCAAGAAACCACCGGGGTTTTCCCGGAATTATTGAGAGCAGAAAAGCAAAACTGAATTCATCAGGCACAGAGTAACGCGCCGTGAGTTCACACCACGCGGGAGCAGAATTTCTTAACAATTTTGCACCAGGAGCTACCAAGAAAAGTCCAAGGGATGGAGGAGCTGGGTAGGTCGCCCGCTGATGGGCGATCCCCAGCCACCCGTGCCTGCCAAGGGGCAACCGAGCCTCGGGGATGCGGACGAACAGGAGATGGGGCCATGGGTAAACTGGGCTGGCTGGGAAGAGGGGCTGGCAGCCAAGCTCCAGCGCCTGCCCCCATTTCAATTAGCCAAAATGGTGCCCCACAGGCAGAGCTGGAGAAGGATCCTTTTTGGTTTTGTTTTTTTTTTTTTTCTTTTTTTTTTTTTTTTTTCCCATTTAAATGACACGGCAGTCCTCTGGCATTCAGCGAGGGACTCCAAGCACTCCCGCACATCTTCCTTATGAAGTTCCTACCTAAAAGACAGCAATTTTGGGATCGCTTAGCACAGCGAGGGACTCCAAGCACTCCTGCACATCTTCCTTATCAAGTTCCTACCTAAAAGACAGCAATTTTGGGATCGCTTAGCACGCCTGTAATGCATGCGAACTCCACATACCTAGCATTTCAAGTGGAAAGGGTTAATTTTTAAAGGAGGAATACCTGAGCATATTTCCTCTGCTCTCCACTACACCTCCAGGACAAATAAGGATGAGTTGTCAAGTTAAATACAAGCAGTCAAGTGACTGAATTATAATTTACTCTGTGCTCAATTTAAATTAGTGTGAGGCTATTAAAATATACAGTATAAATACGGCAATTCATCACAAGCTGTCATGGATGACTTCATCTATTTGCTGGAGTGGCATACGTTCCACTAAAGGGAACGAGAGCAAAATCACAGGTCAAATTAAGCTGCTATTCTGTTTTAATTCACTTATTTAATCTGTGGCGACATAATTGTCTTTTACAGTATGTACAACTCAAAGGAAATTTGGGAGTATTATAGTCAGTATACAAATGATTAATCAAATGGTCCATTTAAATGCCAGCTTAAGAGCAGGAGAAACTAAAAGCAGTTGAAGAATGGCAATCAGCCAGCACACGCTCAAATTTTTAATTCTGATTTTTCCCTCTAATTAGAAAAAAGTTACCTCAGAAAAATCTATTACATTCTCTGCACATTATCTATATGTAAAGATAACATAAAAATAGGTGATGACATAGCATTGGTCTGTAACATAGGTATCAACGTTGGTTTGTTTTCCTGTTCAATGTATTTGCAATATTATCTACCAGCTGAAAGCATTTTACTCAACTCAGAATGTTATTTTGTCCTATCAGATCTGTATATTACTGTCAAAAAAATTCCCCAAAACGCAGAGCTCTGCTTTCACGGATCCATCCAGCGACCCACTTTTTAGCCTGGCAATCTTAAACACTTGATCCTTGCAATGGTCACGTTGAGATGCAGGCCTTACCATCCTCTTTTTATTGCTGGGTTTGCTGATGTTTTAAGTAATTTTTCTAAGTAGAGCAAGCCGGCATGATGGCTATCATAGCAGGCTTCCTGACCTCTGGTTTGTGGGCACGTTATTTTAAACTATGATAATATACACACGTTGATGCAATATTTCTTCTGAAATCACACTAAGAAAATATAATTGAGAGCGACAGGACCACCATAGCTACAGGAGAACGCGGTTTCCCAAATCTTCAGGATGCTAATTACCCACCAGGACTACCCAAACCCTTGGACTCCAAGGGAAACAAGGAGGTGAAATTGCTAGGGGAAAAGGATTTTTGCCACAGGGAGGTGATTTCAATTAACCTTGCAAAGGGTGAACTCAATTCCCCTCCTGCCTGTGGGATTTTGCTCTTGCTCCACCTCCTCTCCAGGAGCTTCGGAGGGCAGCGCTGGCTAGAGAGCCGCGATGCCAGCGTCGAGCGGGGCTGGTACCAAAGATGCTCAACATAGAGCTTGAAAAAGGAATTTGAGGAAGCACCGCAGTACCAGGCAAAAGCAGCATCCTCACACAACCCTGGCATCTGGGTGAAGAGCTTTTTTAGTTCCACACGAAAAGTTGTAATGCAAAAATATCTTTGATTATTAAATTTTCTGTACTTTTATGCCTATTACAACTGAGAGAATTCCTGTCTTGCTCTACTCATGACAGGTTTAGGAATGATGGATACAACCTGAAAGGACGTCTTCAAAATGACTCTTTCAAAAACTTTTCCAAGTGATATTGGTATTCCACCTAATTAGAAGTTACTCGGATGTTATTTCAATTTCCGTGTTTTCCACACGTTAGAGAATCATTTCAAATCCAGTAGGAAGCATTTGCTTTTCTTCAGTTCATCAGAAAGTCAAAAGAGTTTCTCCCAGTGGGGCGAAGGGATTTCCATGATCCCCAAAGCCAAAACATGGGCAGAATCTCCTTTCAGTAAATTATATCTGGGTGTCTTGTGGTGCCAATCTGAGCCGGAATCTGAAAGTTACCCATACATGTAAATATTGCCTGGTAAATAAAAATGCTTCATTGGAAGCCTTAGCATAATCCCACATCTTTAAATTCCATTTAACACCACACTTGCAGCAACCAGCTCCCATCACTCCTCCTCTTGGCCTCCTCTCCTACCCCCCCATTCTTTCAGTTTAACTCACTTAAACCAGAATTTAATGATTAAACAAAGACAGGGAAAAAAAAAAAAAAAAAAAAAAAGAGACAAAAAGCCCATTTTACAGTTTTCTGAGTAATTATTCCATAAATTATATTTTTGAAAATATACCTTTTTTTTTAGATCCCAAACTATTAATTGGAATTGTATGGATGCAATAATTAATTTATTTTCCAAAAGTCTCTAACAAAATCGCCAAATTAAAAAAACCTGTTTGATGTATTAAAAAAGGGATTCTTTCAGTATTTTTGTATAGGTTAACCGTGCTAATAATCTAATTTACAAATTTAATCTAATTTCACAAATTACAGAGGTGGCACACTGTTGTCACCACAGCTTTAACGGAACTTTCCCACAAGACTGGTATTTTCATCTGGCCACGTAACACTACGGCATACAGCTTCACCGCAAAGAATGCTAACAAGGAAAAAAAGAAAAAAAAAAAAAGCCAGATCACTTGGATAAAAGCAGGCAGGGGGGGAATATGGGACCTTAAAATAAATAAACCTGTTAAACCCACACAATCTCTTAGGAAAACAGAGTATTATCCCAAAGAAACGAGGGATATTCTCTTTATTTAAAAATGAGGTTGCAGAGACCGCTCAAGAATACGCCCTTGGGGACAGTTGGGCATTAGCAGGGAAAGGTAGAGGCTGACATCCCGCGACCTTTCCATCCCCGCTCCGGTAACGCCGGGGTTCAGGACGGCGAAGCAGCGTCTCCGCCGCTCGCTGGAGAGGCACAAACCCCAACTGCGCTTGGACGCATCCCCGTAACCCCATGAGAAGGTATGGTGGTACCTACACACGGGGCCAAGCAATTCCCAGTGGGCGAAACTAGGATTCTGGGAACTCTGTACTCATTTGGAATGAGGAGATTTATGGACTAGAGTTTCCCTGCATAAACGACGTGGACTTTAATGCGATAAAACAAATTGAGATCTAACGATCAGAGGGAGGGGAAAGAAACCAAGGTCAAGAAAGAATGGAGAGAAAGAAAGAGAGAAAGAAAATTACTGTAATATCTTACCTTTACTGCTAGTATTTTTCCACTAGGGACATGATATGCCCTGCATGAGAGAAAAAAATTAAATAACTTGAGATCACATAAAATTACCTCTATACATATGTGCAACATGTATACACTAATTTCACAGGAAAATGACTTGGAGCTAATACGTTTTACGTTAAAGCCATTTCATACAGCACTTCCAAAGAAAGGCTGATGAAAACAATCGATCACGGGAATATACTTACAATGAAACCATTTAGTAGGTCTTTACATCTGCCTGTTTTATATAAAACCTACGCATCGAAGACTTCCATGCAGCGTAATAGCAAACTTCTAAGCATGAATTTACCCACTTCCATGTTTTCTTTCAATGAAATAAAACGATGATCTATCCATTATTCAGAATCGTCACGTAAACCAAGGTTTAGCACGCGAGTTTGCCAGTCCTACGGGTATTTTCAGCGGTAAGACGGCGAGATCCACAGCTACACCCGTTGACGTGGAGTAAAACAGGTAGCGACTGATTCTTTATCATAACCTAATGACCCACAGAAAATAAGAACGAAATGAATTTCCTGCATCTGTATTTAAGATGAGCACGTGTGCGCACATGTAAGGTTAGAAAGCATTCTGTTAACACTCACACGTACCCAAAATAATTTTCCACAGTATTTCAAGATCAGTTTGTCTTAATTTCTGAAGACAAACCTTTATAATTGGCTATTTAACAACGACTTGCGTACTCCTAACCATGAACTCCTAAGAAAATAAAAGGGTAGGCGGAAAAAAAAAAAAATGTTACTAAAAATCCAATGTAATTTTGCATAAAAACAAAACCATTAAAGGTTTTCCTCTTCACTGGTTTTATTGTCTCATACTGATTTACGACACCATGCACAGTAATGTCATATATGTGGCACTAACTTTAAAGAATTGTAATATTTTACCACTATATACCTCTAGCAATTATTACTGAAGAAGAAAAGCTTTAATAGTTTGGTTTTTTTTTTTGCATGCAAAATCATACCTAGTACAGGGCGAGACTGTTGTTTAATCTTATTTATAACCCTGAGCGCTTCTATAATTCCTGTTAATAGCTCGGAAGTTTCTAAAAACTTCAGCTTAATTTAATAACTCATGGATAAACATCTATGTAACCAAGTGGCATTAGCTCTTAGGAGCAGAGTTTAAAAAGGCATAGTAAAAATCAGTGTTATTTAATATCAGGGCAACACGCAAAAAGCAACATCAGCAGACGAAGCCCGGACAGCCCGGCAGCTGAATGCGTAATCAATGAATCCAACGCCGTAAATGAACGCTGCTGTAACTAGGGATGAACCAACAGTGGCAAAACATTACGGGCTTAAGATCAGCAGAAATGATAAGAAAATGAACAGGTTGAGATAGCATGCTTAGCGTCTGTTAGCTTAATACGTACTGTGCCGGACAGTTTGGCAACTTAATTAGCTTGTCAAGAAAGCTGATCTTTTTTCCATAAGAGAGATCTCCTGTTTCCAAGTGAATTAAAAGGGAAGACTTGATTATTTAATTATGATGCACGCTAATTCATCCGTGGAAGTTTGGGTTAAATTTCCAGCAGAGGGCAGATACCTGGTTTGGTTTACAGAGCACTGACAGTACCAATTTAACATTTAATTATCGCTGAGAATTGGATCACAAAGGAGATGCCATGCCCATGGGTGTCCAGTGGCTTTGCATGCTACCTGGGAGGAAAGGAATTTGTTTACTTCAGGCTGATCCGGCATCTCCATTGTCCTGCCCTTCCTCAACACAATAACTGTAAAGTGATTAATGAAGTTTGAATAGGAGCTTTGGTTACACCAAAAGACAACCCTACACCTCTGTAGTCTTTTAATTAACAGCTAACACTTCAAATTAGTTCTGTAGTTGCTACAGTAATTACCCGTTCC